ATGCTTATTTCATTTTATCTTAAAAACTAACCAATTGACCAATTGCTTATTTAATTAGCCTTAAAGGATATTAAAACCATACTGAACTGAAAACCTAATTAATCTAATCTATGCTTTCATTAATTAGACAAACACATGGAAACATGGAAGAAGAAAAGAAATCAAACAAACAGTTTATAATCCTAATTTTTGCCCTACTATATCTAAAACAACCAGAATTAATTATCATTCTCAGCAAGCTTCGCATGAAATCAATTCATAATAATTCTAGATTAACAGGGAATCAACAAGCTAATTGAGTGATGCATCCATATATGAATGAAAAATGCTAATTACCCTACCAATTCGATTGACTCTAAACTAAACCAAATTAACAAACTAAATTTAACTTCGAACAAATAAACGGAATGATTCTGAGAACAATCTAATGTGCCCTAGGACAAAATTACTAATTAAACAATCCAAAGAACAATCAATTTTTACAGAGCTAGAAATCAAGCTATGAAGAAAAACTGACTCGACCTTTAAAAAAGAAAGAAGGGAAAAGAAAGAAGAAAAGAAAAGGGGAAAGCAAATGATAGAAACTTACCAATGACTGGAAGAGACAATCGTCAAAAAACCCTTGAATTCTGCCTTCGCTTTGACAAATAGGGGTCTTTTCTTTCAAGAGATCCAGCCTTGCATGGCTTTGACTAGATCTTCATGAAAGAAAGGACCTTTTGGAGCCTCAACTTTGAAGGAAAAGAGGAGCAAAGGAACTTTGGGATCAATTTGGGGAAAGCTAGGGTTTTCAAGTTTGATTCTTAGATCTGAAATTCCAACCAGTAAACGAAGATTTTGGAAGACCTGGATGGGAATCTAAGACGAGGAGGGGAATGGGAGTCTTTGGTATTAAAGTGGTGAGTTTTGGAGCAGTTAGGGTTTTCAGTCAGATTTCATTCGAAGATTCGAACCACTCGGGCTTGATACGAAGGAAAGGGAGTGAGTATTTGGAATGGGGAGGTGCAGGGGTGTTCATGGTATCAATTTTGGGCCGATTATACCACCTGAACTACCGTGAGGCGATTTTCGGTGGTGGTTCACGGTGGAGGCAGCGTGGGATTGTGAGGCGGCTAGGGTTTGGGGTGATATTCAGAGAGAGATTGGAGAGTGAGAGGGTTTGGTTTGGGGAGGGGAGGTAGTCTCTCTTCGGATAGTAATATAATAAAAGATCAATCAGTTCCGGGCCGTTGGATGGATAAAATCCAACGGCTGAGATCAAATCGGAATGAAACGAGGTCGTTTTGGGGTCAAATGGGGCTGGACTGGGTTAGCTGGTGTTTGGGCCTGGGTTTTTTGCTGTAATTTTTGGGCTCTTTTTTGGAGATCTAATTTCGAAAATCCCTTTTAATTCCTCTTCTTTTATCTTTCTTTTTACCTTTTTTTCTTCTTTTTTTTAAAAAATTAAAATCCTAGAAATTTAAAAAAAAATCCTAAATTATCCAAAAGTGTGAAATTAAACTAACTAGATAATTATTAAAATTATAAACAACACTTAATTCTAAATTAAAAGAGGAAAATTAATAAACTAAAAATTAAAAGACAAAAAATGTAAAGCTGGGCTATTTTTTTGTGATTTATGAATTTTTATAAAGAAAATAATTACTGATTAATTCTAAAAATAGAAAAACAAATTCTAAATGCAATGCATGACATTTTTGGCATTTTACATGATTTAAATAAATTAGACATGTACAGAAAAATGCAAATAATTCAGAAAATTCTACAGAAATTCCTAAAATGACTAATAATTAACAAAAATCTATTGTTTTCTTGGGATTTTATAGGAGTGTTTTGTATGGGGCAAAAATCACATGCTCACAGCTGCCCCTCTTTGCTCGAAAACAAGTAGGGTTTTCGGGCAAAGATAAAAATGATCAACTTTGAGGGATTTTTGCCCCTTTGAAACTCCATGAGAAACACCTTTTAAAAAGAGTCTGGCCGAACCTTGCTTTAGAGGTTGCCTACATATCCTTGGCTATAAAGGAATCATGTGAGTGTAGTTCTGGAAGTTTTTGTAGCTGAGACTACTGGAAAACTGTGATTTCACTGTCGTTGCTGCTTGTTGATCTCCTTATTACACAAAAAGGAAAAATAAAAAGCTAAACTAGCTAATTCTATTAACTACGAGTTACAAGATTCCTATCTATAAGTCTTCTGAAGCTTGATCTTGAGTCTTGGATGGTTCTTCCTGCAGACTCTGATATGAATCTTGACGCTCGTTAGCTGCACCGTTGGATCAAGTCGGGACATGCGAAGCTTGTGACTTCAATCAAATTTTAAGTAGTTCGCATCTTTTCTCCGCTTCAGCGATTTGAGTACAACTTCTTTTCTTATTTCTTCTTTTCTTTTATTTAGGTTGAGACTTCTTCTTTTGGTCGTCTCAAACCGTGTGCCTCATGGTGAAAACCTGTTAAGGCACCAAAGCAAACAAACAAACAAAAATTTTCTGCCCTAGTTTCCACTAAGAAAATTTTGTGAGTTATTGTAACAACATCTAAACTATAAGGATTGTGTATCCTTGGGAAAAAGAAATTAGGGAGTAGAGCCCTAAATTTGAAAGATTGCCAGGTTATACTGGAAAGATGATCGAGTTATGCCGTAGAAGAAAAATATCTTCGGATTACGTCGGGGAGGTCCACGAGTTATGCCGAGAAAGGTCATCGGGTTATGCCAGAAATGAAACGGTCCTCGGGTTATGCCGGGGAGGTCCAAAGGTTATGCTAGGAAAGTCATCAGGTTATGTCGAAAAAAAGAAAAGGTCCTCGGGTTATGCCGAAAAAGAAAAGGTCCTCGGGTTATGCCGGGGAAGTCCATGGGTTATGCCGGGAAGAAAAGGTTCTTGGGTTATGCCGGGGAAGTCCATGGGTTATGCCGGGAAGAAAAGGTTCTTGGGTTATGCCGGGGAGGTCATCGGGTTATGCCGGAAAAGTTCCTCGGGTTATGCCGTGGAGGTCCACGGGTTATACCAGAAAAGGAAAGTTCCTCGGGTTATGCCGAGGAGGTCATCAGGTTATGCCAGTAAAAGAAAATGTCCTCGGGTTGTGCCGGTAAAGTCATCGAGTTATGCCGGAAAAGAAAAGGTCCTCGGGTTATGCCGGGGAAGTCCACAGGTTATGCGGGGAAGAACAGGTCCTCGGGTTATGCCGATGAGGTCATCGGGTTATGCCGGAAAAAGAAAAGGTCCTAGGGTTATGCTGGAAAGGTCATCGGGTTATGCCGAAAAAAGAAAAAGGTCCTCGGGTTATGCCGGAAAAGTCATCGGGTTATGCCGGAAATAAACTAGGGAGTGGAACCCTGTAATGGAAAAGACTACCAGGTTATCCTTGGAGCGATTAGGGAATGCGACCCTATATTGAGAAAATGTAGCTAGAGATTGGAGGCCCTATGCTACCATGGTTTTGAATTTTCTTCTTCTTTCTTTTCGTTTTACTTTTAATACTTTACTCAAGATAATGTATGAAGAGTTGGAAAGGACTTCCCTTTTTTGGGTTAATATCTACTACAAGACCATTCTGGACTCTGCGCACCTTGCTTTTATTGCACCTGCTCCTTGCGAGGTTAACTTAGATTGCACGTGTTTTCAAATCAAAGAACAATTTGTCAGTTTAAAACAGTAGTTCATTTTGTGGCCATGATTGTTTTGATCACTTGATCCCGACCCAACCCTTTTGCTGAAATCTTTTACTGCTTGTTGGCTTTCTGGAAACTGATTTCTCTTCTAAAAACCGGGTAACTTATCTTTTCACACAATTTCACATGATGTTTCACCCGTGTGGGGCTTTGTCCTTTTCATATTATTCTGCCTTTATGGGCACTTGACTTTGGATTTCTTTCATTTTACATGATTTTGATTTCAGAGCATCGACCATCATGGCCAGTTGTGGTCGACTTGATGCACCCGCTGAGGTTGAGTGCTTTTCTTTGGATTTGGCTTTGTTACGCAGAACCCTGTAAAGAAATCTTGCCACCTTTTCTTTGTATTAGTCTCGGAAAAGAATCAGACCGAAAGGGATTCGAAGAAAAGTAAGAGAAGGAAATGAAAGTGAATTTAAAAAGAAGTGTCCCTTTCGGGAAGGATGAGAAGGACTTATCTGGAGTGCATGCAGATTTCAATAGACATGACATGCTTCTTGGACTAGATACCCGATCTGTGCAACCATCCATCTTCTCATAAACCCATGATGAACCGAGTTTTAAAACCGGGAAACCTTGCCACGACTCCTTCAGTGCCCATGGTTGTAAGTGATTCTCTTTTTCTGATCAATGGCGCCCTTTGCGAGTTGTAAGGGATTCTCTCTTGGACTGTAGTGCACTTTTTATGAGTTTTCACTAACAAGACTCTTTCATTTCAATTTCTCTGCTCACAATCGCCTTACGGTGCCCGTGGGTTTTTACCAATAAGACTCTCTAATTTCATTTCTCTCATCTAGTTGCATTGGATCCGAGCAACCGCATTTTCCAATTTTTAACACCTTTTACTGATTGATCGGAAGCACTTGAACAAGGTTTGGGTAAAAAGCGCTTGGATCGAATTACAACTTTGGAACCGCTCAGGCGAAATCATTGCCGATCCATCATAACATCTGCCTCAGTTTCACTTTGGGGGAAATTGGATTTTTGTTTCGGTGTGACTGAACCCCAGAGAGAGGCTCACTACAACAATTATGGTCTAACGCCGCACTAGTTTTAGACAACGCCTGAAAAGTGTGCCCAAAAATATATGTGGGCACACTTTTAAGAGGTGGCCTTTGTATGGAGCTTTTGGATACGGAAAATTTGGCTACGGTTGTAAAATGTGCTCTTTAATTTATTAGTCCACACTTATTAAACGTTGCTAAATTATAAAATAATTGGCAATATTTACTTGAGTATGTGGTACTCTTTTTAAGCATGCTCTTATTATAATTGGAAAAGCAACACTTTATAAATGTGCTCTAAAAGTCCAACAAAATATTTGGCTAAAATATAATATTCCCTCCGATATACTCTAGGTGAAATATTATTTTTTTCAATTTCAAAAGGGCAAAAGACTCTCCTCGCTATACTTTAGCAACACTCTCCTCGCTAAAATCTCTTTGGATTAGGGTTTCTGACTTCAATTGTTGATACTGACGAATCTTCCGGATTAGGTACTGTTAATATCTGCACCTTCTCACCCTACTTTGGGGTAGTGTTTTTGTTTTCGAACTATCATCTCAAAGGAAGAATTCCCATTTCCCCTTTCTCTTAGGTACTGTTTTGCACCTTGTTGCCCTCCTCTTTCCAGATTGAAGAAACTTATAAAGCTAGAGAAATGGGAATTCTTGCAATCTCAGGTTGGTGCTCTTATATGTCAATATTTTACCATCTTGTGGTCTCTAATTGTTGTAGTTGTCTGTCTAATTTGATACTTATTCCAGAAAAGAATAAACTATAAATTAATTATTCCTATTCTAGTCTCCATGGTTAGTAATTTATTTTAAAATCCTAGCAGATTTGTGAACCTAATTCTACAAATCGGCTTTGTTATCTTTGAATTCATTCACCGATGGGACTTCTAAGTTTTGGTTAGACCAAAATCCAATATTTTCCTGGTCATCTGCTTGTTAGATAGAATTTGTTTAGTTTGTGCTAAAGAAATATGCCATTTTCCATGGGGGGGGAATACTGTAGTTTTCTGCTAGATACATATTCCATTCCTTATCGAGGGTATAAGGGCATCCGAAAAGCTTATTAAAATTTTAAGCTATCTCACTTATTGCCTTTATTTTTTTAATTGTATGCTTGGATCCTTTCAATTAGAGTTAGAGCAAGGTCATATGTTCTTATTCCAATGGAAGCAACATGGTTGGTGGTGGGCAAGGTGGAGGATTGTTTTTTTGAGGAATCAAATGTGACGAGTTAGGACCTGCCTCATGGAATTAGTATGCGGTCAAAATTGACCTGTGAGCTCTTTTATATGTGCATAACGAATTAAAGTTGCATCTTTTGGATCAATTTATTGTAAAGTACTTGATTTTATCCTAAAGTGAGAATCATACCGCTTGACCATAACATCCAGTCAATGCAGTTGGATTTAACACAGTTGAAGGTTTGGAACTTACTATAGCATCCAGTAATTTTCTTTCCTCCAAAGTAATTGCTGGAGCGCCTGAAATCTGTTGTTGTTGTCCATTTTTTGTCACTGCCTTGACTTATTTTGCCATAGTTTCAACGTGCTGCTACTGTCCAGGAGGTGAGTATGTTTCTAATTGCTCATCATCCCCTACCTTAGTGCTTGACGTTTGCTTTTGCCCATGCTATTTTGTATCGGGGAAATTGATCAATAGCTCATGATCATCTCCATATTCTCCACAAGATTCTAAATATTGTAAGGCTAGTTCAAAAAAAGAAGTGTTTAATGTAACCAATGGTTGTTTAACCATATTAGTGTTCAGCATCATTTCCTTCTAGGCCTCCTTAATAATTTGCTCAACATGAGTGTTAGAAAAATGTAGTGTAGGAGTAGTAGAGTTGTGTGCTTGCTTGCCCTAGTGTTGTTAAAAGCGACCGCTTCCTCGCTTAAAGCGAGAAGCGATGCGAAGCGATGCATCTGGCGCTTCTCTGATCTGAAGCGTATTAGGTACACAAAATTGATCGCTTTCCCTGAAAAAGCGAGAAGCGATGAAGCGAACAAAAGCGACAGAAGTGAGCGCTTCTCTTTATAGATGCACTAGCAACGTTAATTAATTAAAAAATCTCTCTTTTTTTAACTTCAAGATCATCAAGTCTGGTCCCAAGTATGTGATTTCTTCCTCCTCCCCCTCCTCCTCCTCCTCTTCTTCTTCTTCTTCTTCTTCTTCTCTTCTTCTTCTTCTTCTTCTTCTTCTTCTTCTTCTTCTTCTTCTTCTTCTTCTTCTTCTTCTTCTTCTTCTTCTTCTTCTTCTTCTTCTTCTTCTTCTTCTTCTTCTTCTTCTTTCACGGTTTCAGTGCCCAAACAGTAGTGAATTTTTTTTCCTCTTCAATTCTTCCTTTTCTCATTCTCCTCTTCTTCTTCTTCTTGTTCATTTTCTTACACTATTTCAGTGATAAATTGCAGCGAAATGCTGCCCGTTTTTCGTTTCAGTTATACTGCCATTTTTTGGCATACTTACTGCCATTTTTTTATATCATTTATTCATAGTTGTCTATGTAGTATTTAGTTTTTAAAAAAAATTCCGCTTCACTTCAAAAAACCGAGCGCTTCGCTTCTCGCTTTAAGCGAAAAGGGGCTTGTTGCTTTTCCTTGCTTCACGCTCTTCACAACACTGGCTTGCCCAGATACTCCTCCATCATATTTTTCTTTGAGGCAATTGATTGGATACCCAAATCCTTAGCTAAATTGCCACTATCCTGAGTTTCTTTGTTGTTGTTAAGGCATGGTACTAACTCCTTGGATAAATGAGGTGTAGGCATAGGAACAATGTCCTTTGAAGTACCTAAACACCTACAATGTCCTTTGAAGTACCTAAACAAAGATCAGCAGTCTTGGCAATTTGCTGCTCTTTTACACTGCTCGGAGATCTGGTTTGCCAATATTTTAAACATATGTCACCCTGCACCAATTGCAATATATTCCTAGAATCCTTCTCACTTGCTCATGTACACTAAGCAAAACATCAAAAGAGTTAGAACACTTTAAGATATCAACAGAAACTCATGTGTAATTAATTAGACAAAGATATATTGTGAAGAGTTCAAGGAAGAAAATTAAGTTGTAAAATTTGACAGTCAAATACTTGAATATTTTTGTAGCTATGATATAACTATAAGTTGTATTGCAATATATTCCTAGAATCCTTCTCACCTTGCTCATGTACACTAAGAAAAACATCAAAAGAGTTAGAACACTTTAAGATATCAACAGAAACTCATGTGTAATTAATTAGACAAAGATATATTGTGAAGAGTTCAAGGAAGAAAATTAAGTTGTAAAATTTGACAGTCAAATACTTGAATATTTTTGTAGCTATGATATAACTATAAGTTGTATTGCAATATATTCCTAGAATCCTTCTCACCTTGCTCATGTACACTAAGAAAAACATCAAAAGAGTTAGAACACTTTAAGATATCAACAGAAACTCATGTGTAATTAATTAGACAAAGATATATTGTGAAGAGTTCAAGGAAGAAAATTAAGTTGTAAAATTTGACAGTGAAATACTTGAATATTTTTGTAGCTATGATATAACTATAAGTTGTATATATTCTTCTAGTAGCTGCTCGCAATAGATTCTTTCTTCTTTGACTACAAGTATATATGGCTTCAGGGTACTCATAAATTTCATATTTTTCTTGTTCTGCACCTTCCCACCAATCTTATTTTTTTTCTTGGGTATGCACAAATTTCATATTTTTCTTGTTTCTTCATATAGAAAGGTTATAAGTTGATTCTTTTTAGTAGTATCATGAATGATTTTTCTGATGTTCCCTCTTTTAGTAATTAATGGTCTTTCTGTTCCTCTTCATGTCAAATTTTTAAAAGTACAAATACCCAATTTGCAATAGTAATTCATGTTGCAAGCTAAGATCTAGTCTTCTTAGATTCTTTAGATGTTCTTCAATTTAGGTATGTGTAGATACCTTTTTTTGTTGCAAATTGACATGGTCAACAATATATCTTTTTTATTGCTTTAATTTCCTTTGATTTGTTTTGTGGATCCTAATTTTACTTTTTTTATCCAAGAAGATAAGTCACGCTCAGGAAGATTTGCGGTGGACTTAAAGTTGTATTTGGCTTAGCTTAAGTGTCATGACTAGGTAAGAAAGTCCTATTATTTTACAACACATGATTTTACAGATTTATTCTTGACATTTAGGATTTAGTTTTACCATATAATTAATGCTTAAATGATTATATATTTGAAGATCTAATAAATTTTATTTTTAGGAATTCAAATGTTCCATCCAAGGAATGGATGGATTTACCAAGGTATAGCAAAGAGTATATCGAGGGTGTTCAATCTTTATTAGATTTTGCTTACTCTTATGGAGATCCTCAAGGCGAAGAAATTAAATGCCCATGTGCAAAGTGTAGTAATATTCGTTGGACTCGAAGGAATGTAGTGTATGAACATCTAATATGTTATGGGTTTCGTCAAGGTTATACAAGATGGATTAATCATGGGAAATGGAAAATTTCGATTAATGTTAATTGTGACATGGATGATAATGTTTACTCTTACGATGATATTGATGGGTTGTTGAATAATCAATTTAGAAATGTTGCACATGCTGGAGGAGTGTATAAAGGCCCAAATGAAGATGCCAATAAATTTTATAACTTAGTTGATGAGGCAAACCAATAACTATATCCGGGTTGTAAATGATTCTCTAGATTATCTTTTACAATCCGTCTTTATTTGTTGAAGTATGTACATGGATGGAGCATTGCGTCTTTCACTTCTCTTTAAGTGCTATTAAAAGAGGCGATGCCTGACCTGAATATTCCTATATCTTACAATAAAGCCAAATCTTTGGTAAAGGATCTCGTTCTTGATTATGAAAAAATTGATGCATGCCCCAGTGATTGCACGCTTTTTAGGAATGACCATAAGGATGATGAATATTGTCATGTTTGTGGATCATCTCGATATATTAAATATCCTGAAGTAGATAGCGAGCTTGAGGCTTCCAAAAAATGTTATCGTGTTCCAGCAAAAATTTTGAGACACTTTCTATTAATTCCTAGACTTAAAAGGCTATTTATGTGCTCAAAGATAGCAGATACATTGAGGTGGCATGACGAGGAGAGTTCTAAAGATGGAAAGTTAAGGCATCCTGCTGATGGGCAAGCATGGAAAGATTTAATAGCTTGCATTCAGAATTTGCAAGGGATTCTCGCAATTTGAGTCTTGGCTTAGAAAGTGATGGGTTCAATCCATTTCGGACCATGAGCATATCTCATAGCACATGGCCAGTTATTTTAATGGTACATAATTTGCCTCCTTGGATGTGCATGAAGCTAGAGTATTGTACGCTTTCTTTGCTTATACCTGGGCCACGATCACCTGCAAATGACATTGACGTTTATTTATGACTATTAATAGAAGAGTTAAATGTTTTGTGGGAGTCCGGGGTAGAAACATATGATGCTTCAAGAGATCAAACCTTTCAAATGCGAGCAGCTCTTTTATGGAGAATCAATGACTTTAATGCATATGCTATGTTATCCGGTTGAAGTACAAAGGGAAAGTTGGCTTACCCTTGTTGTAATTATGGCACTAATTCTCGTTATCTTAAACATAGTCAAAAAATATGTTATATGGATCATCATATTTTTCTGCCTATGGATCATCCTTGGAGATTTAATAAAAGGTCTTTCAATGGAAAAACTGAATTTAGGCCTCCTCCGTCTTTGTTAAAGGGAACTGATGTGCTTAATAGCTTACGGAATTTTAACAATATATTTGGGAAGAAGCGAAAGAGAACAAATGATGGCCCTTGGAAAAAAAAAAAGTCAATTTTTTTTTGAATTACCTTATTGGCAGCACAACTCGTTACGTCATAACCTTGACGTAATGTATATAGAGAAAAATATAGTGGATAATATAATTGGAACTATTTTGGAAATTCCTGGTAAGACAAAGGATCATGCAAATGATCGTTATGATCTGAAAGAGATGGGCATTAGGAAGAACCTTAAACCAAAGGATAAAAAGGATGAAAAAAGAATAAAGTTTGCAAAAGCATGATTCTCAATGACCAATGGTGAGAAATTAGTTTTGTGTGGTGTTTTAAAGACAACAAAGCTACCTGATGGTAGTGCTTCCAACATATCCAGGTGTATGCAGCTAGATGAAAGAAAATTATCTAGTTATAAAACCCATGATGCCCACTTCATGTTACATTACTTGTTGCCAATACCAGTTAAAAGCAAACTTCCTGATCATGTTGCTATCCCTTTGATTCGTCTAAGTTCATTTTTTCTCCGTTTATGTCAAATATTTATCATAATGGAATAGCTAGATTGCTTGAAATTAGAGATTAGAGAAACAATGAATCAATTGAAAAGAATTTTTCCTCCAACTTTTTTTGATATAATGATTCATTTGCCTACTCATTTGGCAAATGAGGTAAGGTTGGGAGGTCCAGTTCAAAATCGATGGATGTATCCTCTTGAAAGGTATATGTGTACATTAAAATCATATGTTCGCAACAGAAATTATCCAGAAGGATCTATTGTTGAGGCATATTTGGTTGAAGAGTGTTTGACTTTATGCTCTAGGTACTTACATGGAGGTGTAAAGACTCGATTTAATCGACGACCCCGAACAATGATGAATATGATTCAATTAATGCACAATCTTCTAGTTTGTTCCCTATTACAGGTTGTCCTTTAGGAGCAAAAAAGAGTGATCCAATTGTTTTAGATGACATGTCACTAAATCAGGCACATGTATACTTATTGAACAATTGGGATGAAGTTCAAGAATATATAAGGTAATTTAATCACTTATAGCATTTATTTATGTAGATTGTTATTAAATTACTTTATTTACCATTTTACTTACAAATAAAAATAATTGTTGTGTAGAGAATATGAGGTTGAAGTTAGTAATCAGAGACGAGGATCTAAATGGAGCAAGGCCAAGAAGTATAGTCAAAACTTCTCTCAATGGTTTGAAACTCGTTCTTTGAAAGAGGATGTGCCCGATCTTATAAAGCAATTACCCTTCGGACCAAATTCAATTGCTAAAAGAAATTATGGGTATCTCATTAATGGATATAGATTCCATGCGAGGCAGCATGATGCGAGACGTAAAACACAAAATAGTGGTGTTACATTAGTCGCCCAAACTACAAGTTTTGCAAGCTCAAAAGATAAAAATTCAGTTGACGCAAATTTAACTTATTATGGTAGAATAGTTGATATAGTTGAGTTAGACTATTGTGGCCATTTTAGGGTTGTCTTATTTAAGTGAGACTGGTATGAGGTTGATGAAGATATTTATGGCCTTACTTATGTCTACTTCAATAAGAAATGTTATCAGAACGAGCCTTTTGTCCTAGCATCTCAAGTACACCAATTCTTCTATGTGCAAGATCCATATGACAAGATAGATATTATGTCATGAAGACTATCCCGAGAGACTTGTTCAACATAAGTGATGAACTTGAATCTAATGCCCCACAGTGTTATGAAAATGAGTCATCTGAATATTTGGCTGGCCCATCTATACCGGAGGATAATGGTGAAGTCGCCTTAGTAAGGAGTGATGTTCCAGCAAGTATTCTTGATGTACCTCCAGAAGGATTTCTAGCACAACAACATGAAATTGAATCGGATGAAGAGTTTGATTTTGAAGACACATCATGAGTTTTTTTTCTAATTCAAATAGAAAATAGCTTTGCCATTTTTTTTATTAATAACTAGAAACACATTAAAGACTGTTGCTTTAGTTTTAAATTGATGTTGTCTATTTCGTCAAGTTCAATATTGAATATTTCTTTCTTATCGATTTCTTTGATGTGCACATATATTTTATTGCTCATGTATTTTTAATGTGTCCCTTTTGATATCACTAGAAATTACTTGATTGGTTATTCAATGTGTCACTTCTAAGAAACCATATTGTAATATATGTGGATCGAGAATTTGTCCTCCAGTTTTGAATATAGAAGTGAACGTGAGTAAGTAGAAATTATGCTTCGGAATTTGTATTGTACTATTACCTGGAGTATTGGAGCAAGTTTTAATGTATATACATATTTATTTTTTATTATTATCAGGTGGTGCACATGCAACTAAAGAAGATATTGGACTAACAAATTTTAAGGAACCAAGAGATATTGAACAGGTATCTTTGCAACTTTGTTTATTTATATATGCTATGGAATTGTTTATCTTTATATATCCTCTGGAACCAAGAGAATTGTTGGGTATGGGCTCTTAGTTGTCTTGTTAGAGTTCATTTCTTTGAGGGAATTCTGATGATTGTTTAAACTTGCACCTCCCTTAAGATTAAGGATGTGGGTTCCTATGGAAGTGCAGGATAATATAATGAGAGAACACTGTTGGGTGGATTGGAAATAACAGATGAAATAAGAGTTGAATATCTCGGTTGATATGCATTGATCTGTTTTCAATGGTCCACTTATTTCCTGATACCTCTCAGCAGTTATATCTCTGGACTTTCAATCCCCATGCCTCGGGTGCATATTCTGTCCAGTTCCCATATTTATTGTTGAAGTAATCATTGTAACTTATTGTGAACACCAACTTGTAATTCTTAAAGTAGGAAAAAAAACAAACATAACTGTTCTGCAGCATCATAAACCATGCTTCAGTTTAGTATAGGTTTCTTGTTTATCCCAGATTATGCATGACGATGACAAAATGCACAATTCCATCCTCCATATTCTGTAATTGTTGGAAACAGTGTTGTTAAAAGCAACTGGTTCCTCGCTTAAAGCGAGAAGCGTTGCGAAGTGAGGCATCTGGCGCTTCTCTGATCTGAAGCGTATCATGTACACAAAAGCGATCGCTTTCCCTGAAAAAGCGAGAAGTGAGGAAGCGAACAAAGCGACAGAAGTGAGCACTTCTCGTTATAGCTGGGTTGCCAACGCTAATTAATTAAAAAAGCTCTTTTTTAACTTCAAGATCATCAAGTTTGGTCCCAGGTATGTGATTTCTTCCTCCTCCCCTCCTCCTTTTCTTTTTCTTTTTCTTTTTCTTTTTCTTTTTCTTTTTCTTTCACTGTTTCAGTGTCCAAATTGCAACGAAATGCAGGTGAATTTTTTTTCCCCTTCAGTTCTTTTTTTTCTCATTCTCCTCTTCTTCTTCTTCATTTTTTTACACTGTTTCAGTGATAAATTGCATCGAAATGCTGCCCATTTTTCGTTTCAATTATATTGCCATTTTTGGCATACTTACTACCATTTTTTCATATCATTTATTCTTAGTCGGGGGATGTATTAGGGCATACTGGCCAGGAAACTTTGTATAAATTAGTTTGCCTCTTGAGAAGCAGTTCGGGTTGCCCTTAACCATTCAAACTTTTAAATTTAGGAAGCATGTGTGGTGTACCTCTAATGGCAATGATGACATGAGAAGTTTCTTTAGGTGTAACAGGTGAAAGAAATTATGAGAAATTTATATGCACCGGAAAACAAACACATAAAAAGTATCTTCTGGTGGTAAAAATTGGGAATTGTATGGTTATACAAAGACATAGGTAGGAGGCAGGAACTGGTGCTGCTGCAGATATTGGTTCTTAGGGTCTTTTCTAATACTGAGATCAATTATAGATTCTGATCCTATGTTCAAAAATTTGTTGATCCTCCACAAAGAGTCGATAAAACAAATGTAGACTAGGGGTTGTTATGTGTCTTATTTCTTAAATATTTACTTTCTCACATACTGTTATATATTCTTACTAATTGTTAGGCTAAAGTAATTTAATTTTTTTTGTATGTAGGATGAATCAAGCTGCAGCTCTTAGGAAAAAAGTTGTGAATCCAAACAAATCTCAAAGTCCAATGAAGAATATAGGTTTCGATTTCCAATACCGATGAAGTGCTGAACTAGCCAAAAAATTTCAGATTAAGAGAGAAAAGCTTGCAAGTGATCGTAACGATAAAGCTACTAAAGAGCATGAATTATTGGAGTTAAAAGGAAGAATTTTATGTCTGCAACATTAGAAGGGAAAAGTAGACAGAAGTTAACTCAATCCGATGTATCAGTTCAAAAGTTGGGAAGGAATAGATTACCGGTGTACGAATCAATCCAATCGTCTTCAAGAGAATATCTGAACACTTCACATAGTATTGCAAGTAAAGGATAAATTAAACAAAGGTCAATTCAATTGGAGGAGCCCATTCAAAAGCAAGGAACGAGTAAATTTTCTGTGCCCACATCCATAATCCAATAATTTGCAAAGGTAGATCCTAACACTTTATATATGCTTAAAAGAACACAAGGTGAAGGATATAAACAACATGATATTCAGAAGCTATAAAAATTGCAAAGTGGTAAAGACAAACTCAGTCCTACGTCGACGACTGTTAATCAATTTCTAAAATAATATGGGATACAAGTCGGTGGTGAAAAACATCCTGATAATCACCCAAAAAATGAAGTCAGATTTATGTCCTCTCCTATTATTGATGAGCATGAAATAGAATTGGATAATTTTGTTGCACAAGATGAAGTTGGTGACGATGAATTTATTGGAGATGAGGAGATGAACATCAATGGTGTTGCAGGTGGTATGTCTTAAACCTTATAATTATTCTACATATTTTGATTTTTTTTCTTCTTATGTCTTGCTTGTTATATCAATCTAGGGACATCAGAGAAGAAAAGAGTTCGAGGGCAAATAAAATGTAAGAATATTCATGCAAGAAGTTTTGAAGAAAGAGAGGAGGTGACATTTGATAAAGGACAAGCAGTTCGACCAACTGACAAGAGAGTGTCTGATTTGGCCAACTTTTTAGGAAAAATTGCAAGGAATCCAAGATTTATCCCCTTGGTGCATACTAGTTGGCATGCTGTGTCAAAGGATATTAAGCAACGAATGTGGGAATATGTCAATGTATAATTAATTTTTCAATTATATATTTTTTGTATTTTTTCTACTAAGAAAAGATATATATATATATACATACATATATATATATATATATATATATATGTATGTATATATACATACATACATACATACATACATATATATACATACATATATATATACATACATACATACATNATATATATATATATATATATATATATGTTTGTGTGTTGTTTTGCAACCCAAGTTCATAATTCCAGCTGAAGGAGAGAAGTGGGTAATGACTAGTCTTCGTGATGCTTGAAAGCGACACAAGAGAAATATTAAGAAGAAATATTTTGATAAAAATACTACTATTGACGAAATGCTACAAAATCATCCCAATGAGATACCCTAAGTTTAATTCCGTCAATTGATTGGGTATTGGGATGAAGAAGATGTCCAAGTAATATTAAACCGTGCATTTCTATGTTTTCTACCTATTGTTGCAGTATGTTACAAATTGCATTTCTACGTTTCTGCATTTTCTACCTATTGTTAGCCACCTACTATAGTTTTAGTAGAGCAGTCAATATCAAAACAAGTTTGAGAAATTAATTACAGTCTTCATACGATGTAGAGTTAGTACACTCATAGAGGTTGATACTTTGAGCATTTTGTATGCAACTTGCAAGCCTTAACATATTGTCTAACACCATATAGTATGCACTGAGCTGTATAGATTAATGCACCAGTAGCAATTAAGGATGGGGGGAAATTAAGAATTTGATGGCCACCTGGGATTCTGCCTTCAACTGCTGCTACTAATATTAGTGAAAAAATAGAAGCAATAAAGGCCACATTCAAATTATATTGTTAGCAACATGTATATTGTTTCCTTTTTGGTTTATTAATTAATATGCTTCTTTTATTGTTAGGCTATGTGCCAATTAAATTCTGAAAATAGGAAAAACAAAAGTGGAGGCATCGAATGGGACCTATTAATTTTGCAAGAGTGCGTGTGGAATTGGTAATATTTAGTCGACACTTTGTAATCTGACTTTCATTTCTTTTTGTACTTTGTTGGAACACAATGATGTTTTTTTATATTTTCTTTGATGTAATTTGTAGCACGCAACCAAAGAGAACAACGAGGAACCATCAAAGTCTGAAATGTTTATTACAACTTGTACAAAGAAAGGGAAGGAAGTTCATTCAAATACTCAAGTTGCAATAGTAAATCATGCTGCAAGTTAAGTCTTGTTATTTTATTTTCTCTCTTTAACTGAATGTGTTTCTTTAATATGATTTTATTTGTACAAGATGTTAGATATTTGTCAACCTTTCTCAAATAATATGATTATACCGGCACAAGATTTTTAATATGATGTTGCCTGCACAGAATTCTCCATTCTGTATCTGTGAGTCATAAATGTTGAATGAAAATAAATATTCAGAAGTAGATGATATTATTTGTTTCAGAAGTAGTCATTTGGAGTAGATACTTGTCCACTCTAGTAGAAGCTCGAACCACCATTGTCCAGTCTTCCCCAGTTGATATCCTTGCTATTCCATTGTCCTTAGATTTAACATCCTTTGATCCAGTAACTTATCCAGCAGTTTCCCCGTTACTACTGAAATTTTCAGATTGCAAAGCAATCTCACGATCCTCCTTGTCACTTTTAGGTTCAACGGCTTATTGTGAATCTTCCTTTTGCACAACCTGCTCGCTTCCATCCTTCAAAAGAGTTGTTTGTGCACCAACAGTATATTGATCATCAATTGGATGAGTACATCTTTAGCTTCCACACCTGTTGATTTATCAGTTGTTTTACCCAATCTAACAATAGGTCGATCACCATCTGTCGCACCAGCTTTTGCCTTCTCACGTGCAAACTGTTGTACATTAGTTTGCCTCTATCCTTTTTGTCCAGAACCTGGACCTGTAGCAACACCCTGCTCGTTAACCTCCACTTGTCGCTGCACCTCGACTTTAGATTTATCAAAATTTTGCACAGCCTCCGACTTCTTCTGATTATTCCTCATAAGCACAATATTTTCCATAGCGACTAGACATGAGTTACTCTTCCAGCAACAGCTACATCCTATGAAAATCTAGCAAAAGCTATTTCAACAGGAACTATAGCAGTACTAGCGACAGCTGCTACATGTGATGTCTTAAACGGATTTTAAGCATACTCATGATCCCCCTGATGTGATTTTGAAGCCGGTGTAGCAGCTGTAGGATTAAACAAGAAATTTTGATAGGTGGTATATCTGGTTCAAGGTTTAAACAGGATTAAACAAGATTACACAGGTTTAAACAGGATTAACCAGATAAATAAGAAATTTTATATGTGCTATATCTGGTTCAACTTATTCTTAATTTTTGGACTTGTCTCTAATTTCTCTGTAGCCAGTGGTAGTCGCGGTTCTGATTTATTATGTGCAAATAGCTGAAAGAAGTTGGGAAGTTGGGTGCTGGTTCATAGGCTGAAGAAATTAAGTACCTTATACGAAAGACTGACAAACCCAGCTAACAACTGAACTTTTCCTACCACCTTTGCGTTTGATGAAACCTCTTCATTCATATTAAGCTGTCAAATACCTAAGTGGTCTTATAGCACATTATCCGAAGCAAAGGAAACATTTTGCAGGCTATCGCTATTTGGTACATGTTCACAAATTTCCTTCTTGGATAAGAGTTAACTGCTTCTGAACTTAACACCTATTTTCCGATTAAAAAACTACAAAAGCGCTTAGGTCTGCTCCTTTGAGCAATTCCTTCGTTCATTGAGAATGAATACAGTTAGATTGTGCTAGATGTTGCCAATGAATTCCAGCTAGGAAGTAACACGAAAACTACAAAATGAAACTTCATATTAAAATGGTTATGATCATTGTCACTGAAAAATCTATTGACATTCTTGGCTAAATTTTGAGGTATGTTAAACTTTTATTTAATCTGACTTGACTTGTTAAAAATTATTTTAGTGCTCTATCTATCTTGACTTGTAAGTGATGTGTAATAATAATTATTTGATAGTATGAACTTCAGAATTGCCAAATTCTGGAGAAACAACAGATGATGCATTTAGGGCTGTATTTGGAAAGGAGCAGCCTGGTCAGGTTAGATGCTATGGTAGATCGGTGATGACAAGCTCTCTGAAAAAAGATGAAGAAATCACCAAGCTTAAACAAAATCATGCCAACGAAATAACTTCTCTGAAGGAAGAAATGAACGAAATGATGAGGAAAGAAATGTGATGTTCTTTTAGTCAATTGGTGAAAAACAACCCTGGATTAGATTTTCATGATATACAAGGGTGTGTTGGATCTAATATTCCTTCACCGGTTGATGCAAGTAGTGCACGAGCTATGAGAAGCAAAAATCTACAACATTCTTCTGGCTCAACTCATGCCCCGAGTATTGAAAAGGTATTTATATTTTACAATTCCAAAAACTACCTCAATCTTAAGTAACTTACAAAATCATGCTTTCTATAAGTGTGTGATAGGAAACTGAATCTATTGTCATGACTAAGATTCTAGGGGTCATAATGTTTGAAAGTAGACTATAGAAAAAATATTTGCAGAGTTGGTTATTGGTATCTCAATAGGTATTTTGTTTCTTTGAGGATCTCGAACGAACATTGCTTTATTACTATATATAGTACAAAAAGTGTGTTTCTTTTGTTGGAATTTATTTCAAGTATATGCATTTGAATTATTTTTATTCTATTACTTATCATTTAAATTAATGCTTCATATATATATATATATATATATATATATATATATATATATGTGTGTGTGTGTGTGTGTGTGTGTGTGAATGAACTTGATGCAAACAAATATAGTTTTTAACCCCAAAATTGTGGCTAATATATGTATTTGAAAAATAATTTTGTAGTGTAGACAAAATCACCACGCTTCGAAACTGTGCCATATGGATTGTCAATCTGGCATTGTTAATGATAAATGTTGCTCTAGAAGTCACACTTTGTAAGCGTAGCCTATAACGTGACAAAGATCACGCTTTATAAGTGTAGCCTTATTTCACAAAAGCGTGGCTATATGAGAAAATATAAGTGCGGTGTTTGTACCGTATCGGCCACACTTTTAAAGCGTTGCTTCTAAGGCAACACCTACAAAGCGTGGCCAATAGTCAAAGGTTACGGTACTTTGGGCCACCCCCAAAAAGCATTGCCTAAAGTAGTAAAGTGTTGCCTTTGCTGAAATGCTACACTTCTTGGCATCTTAGGCCATACTTCTTAGGGGTGGTTGTAGGCCTAAAATGTTGTAGTGGCTGCCTACGTATCCTTTCAGAATCAAGTGGAACGTAGTTCAGGGAAACATTTTGTTTTGTTGTTTTTGTTTTCTTTTTGTTGTTTTCTTTTTGTTGTTTTTCTTTCATTTTCTTTTGATGATTTTTTTTACTTTTACAATGTTTCCAAGTTCCAAAGAGAATAATGAAAGAAAGGTAACCGACTCAAAGGGTTAGCAAAGGTTTGGAGAATTTGGGGTAGCGAGAATGAATGCCTTCGTCATCCCAATCAGATAATGTTGTTGCTGCAGAAAGACCAGACATAATACTTTTTGACGGCGTCTGCATTTAGAGCTGTTTTGGGGTCATTTCCTTCAATGTCTCCTAGGTATAATGCCCCTTTTGGTAACAATTTTCTGATAATGTATGGTCTCTTCCAATTAGGAGCGAACATTCCTTTTGCTTCCTGATGATGGGGAAGAATACGCCTTAAAATGAGTTGCTTCACATAAAAGTTTCTAGGCCGCATTTTCTTGTTGTAGGCATGGTCCATTCTTTGTTGATACAACTGCACGTAGTAGACTGCGGCCATTCGCTTTTCATCGATCAGGGTTAACTGTTCTAGATGAGTTTTGACCCATATACTATCCTCAATTTCAGCTTCAACAATGAACCGAAGAGAAGGGATTTCATCTTTGGCAGGTATTATGGCTTCAGTACCATAAATCAAAAGGTATGGGGTTGCTCCAACTAATGTGCGCACAGTAGTGCGATATCCCAATAATGCAAACGAAAACATTTCTTGCCATTTCCTGGAACTTTGGATCATCTTTCTCAGAATCTTCTTGATGTTTTTGTTTGCTGCTTCAATGGTACCATTAGCTTTGGGCCGACAAGGTGTATAGTGCTGATACGTTATCCTGAATTATTCGCATATCTCCCTCATCAAATGACTATTCAAGTTTGCAGCATTATCCGTAATGATAGTTGTAGGAATACCAAAATGGCATATGAGATTGGAGTGCACGAAGTCTACCACAGCTTTCTTGGTGACAGATTTGAGAGTAATTGTTTCATCCCACTTTGTAAAGTAGTCGATAGCGACCAATATGAATCTATGCCCATTTGAAGCTTTTGGCTCGATCGGCCAAATGACGTCCATACCCCAGGCAACAAATGGCCAAGGTGCTGATATGGGATGTAATTCTGTAGGGGGTGCATGAATCAGATCACCGCGCACCTGACAATGATGACATTTTCGGACAAAATTGAAGCAATCTTTTTCCATAGTCATCAAGTAACAGCCTGCTCGAAGGATTTTCTTTGCTAGGACGTATCTATTCATGTGGGGTCCACAAACCCCTGTGTGCACTTCATGCATGATTCGTCCTGCCTCTTCGGCATCCATACATCTTAGCAAGTTGAGATGTGGAGTCCTTTTGTACAAGACCTCTCCGCTCAAGAAGAAACCGCTAATAAGCCTTCTAATTGTTCTCATTTGGTCTCCATTGGCTTGCTCGGGATATTCTTTAGTTTTAACAAATCTCTTGATGTCATGATACCATAGCTGAACATTCGGTTCCACCTCAACCGTATTGCAGTAACCATTCCATTCTCGAATTTTGATTTCCAACGGGTCGATGTGGAGATTGCTTGGATACAGCAACATCGAGGCCAAAGTAGCGAGAGCATCGACTAACTCATTGTGAAAATGAGGAATGTACCTGATCTCGATTGAATTGAACTGTTTACTAAGATCCTCCACATGTTGCATGTAGGGAATAAGCTTGACATCCCGAGTTTCCCATTCACCCTGAGCTTGTCAGATAATCAAGTTTGAATCCCCCACGATCAAAATTTCTTCAACATCTTGGTCGATTGCTATATTCATACCCATAATGTAGGCTTCATACTCATTAGTGTTGTTTGTGCAGAAAAATCGAAGTTGGGCTATGGCTAGATAGTGCTGACCCGTGGGTGAGATCAACATTGCCCTAATTCCAACGCCTTTTTGTGTTCACAGTGCCATCTAAGAACATTTTCCATGCATCGGTGTCTTCAGATGTTACCTCAACTGAATTTACCTCTTTATTCGGGAATTAGGTATTCATCAATTGGTATTCATCATCAATAGGGTTTTTAGCTACGTGATCTGCTAAAGCCTGGGCTTTCATTACTATATGGGTGACATAGACTATGTCAAATTCAATGAGCAGTATCTGCCATTTTGCTAACCTCCCTGTGGGCATTGACTTATGGAATACGTACTTTAAAGGATCCAACCTAGTGATGAGGTAAGTGGTATAGGCCAACAGGTAATGCCTAAGCTTCTGAGCGACCCAATTTAGAGCGCAACAAGTCCTTTCCAAAAGGGTATATTCGGCTTCATAACTTGTGAACTTTTTGCTCAAATAGTAGATTGCCTACACTCTTCTCTCAGTCACGTCATGTTTCCCAAGGACACATCTAAAATAATTCTCCAAGACTGTCAAATACAGAAACGAAGGTCTCCCAGGTTCAGGTGGGACCAAGACTGGCAGGTTCGACATATATTCTTTGATTTTGTCAAAGGATTCTTGACACTCATCCGTCCGTTTAATTGATGTGTCTTTATTTAAAGCTTGAAGATGGGTTCACATGTAGAAGTCAACTGGGCAATGAATCGGCTAATGTAGTTCAGCCTTCCCAGCAAGCTCATGAACTTTTTCTTAGTCATTAGAGGAGGCAAATTCCGAATAGACTTTATCTTCGTTGGGTATAGCTCGATGCCCCTCCGACTGACTATAAATCCCAAAAGTTTGCTAGATGGAACCCCAAATGAGCATTTAGCCGGATTTAACTTCAAATCATACTTACGCAGCCGCTCAAAGAACATTCTTATGTCCCGAACAAGGTTTTCATGTGTTCTAGATTTAATGATCACGGCATTCACATACACTTCAATTTCATGGTGCATCATGTCATGAAAGATGGCAGTCATGGCCCTCATCTAAGTTGCACTGGCATTCTTCAAACCAAAAGGCATGACCCTGTAACAGTAGGTGCCCCAGGGTGTGGTGAAAGCTGTCTTTTCCGCATCCTCTTCATCCATCAACACCTGAAGATATCCTGCATAACAATCCACGAAAGACTGTATCTCATGTTTGGCAGAGTTATTAACAAGGATGTGGATATTTATCAAAGGGAAGTTGTCCTTGGGACTTGCTTTGTTTAGGTCTCTTTAGTCAACACACACTCGGGTATTCCCGTCTTTCTTTGGTACGGGAACTACATTGGCCAGTCATGTAGTGTATCAGACCAGTCGGATCACTCCCGCCTTCAACTGTCTTGTGACCTCTTCTTTGATCTTGTCACTGATATCAGTTTTAAACTTCCTTTGTTGTTGCTAGATATGGGGACAATCGAGGTAAATCAGCAGCTTATAGACCACCAGATTGACACTTAGTCCTGGCATGTCATCGTAAGACCAAGCAAACACATCTTTAAATTCGAACAAAAGTTGGATCAATGCATCCCTGGTTCTTTCATCTATGTGAATGCTTATAATGGTTTCTTGGACCTCTTTAGAACTACTCAAATTAACCGGCTCGGTTTCATTTATGTTCGGCTTAGGTTTATTCTCAAATTGTTCCAATTCTCAGTTTATTTCCCCAAAAGCCTTTTCTTCATCGTATCCTGATTCTTGGTTCATTATTTCACAATTAGACAGCGTGTTTGGATTTGGGCATGAAGTCCGCAAGCATGTCATGTTATTTAAAGCCGCATTATTAGAACTGAAATAAGAAATAAGAAAAAATTACAAAAATCAGAAAGAATAAAGAGAGATGAACGATGAAATATTGATTTCATTTCATTGAATTTTGAAGATAAAATGGTTTACATTGGAAATTAAAGACAATGAACTAAAAGAAACATCCGAGTTACACCCTGAAATAACTCTGATGTAGAAAAGGTGGCAAGACTGGACTACCGGGATTCCCGCCTGACTTGGAACAGAGTAGCCTTCCAATTTTGCAACTTGGCATTGGGTCCCATGTACAGCACCTCAGTAGTGCTCGAGCCTTCTCCCGGCTGAACCATGTGGTTCATACAACATCTGCCTCTTAGCCTCACAAATTTATTTAATTTCCTCGGCCGTGAAGGCCTCATATTCTTCTTCTTCATTGTACTTGGGCCTGACGAAGGTTTCGAACAAATGTGGGATCGGCTGAGGCAAGACCCAACCGTTGTTCTTTCGCTCATTTGGCCATGTTTCATCAACTAGCGTGGCTTGGAAACCCATACCAAAGAACTTCTTGCTAGCAGACAAAGTGATAGGTTATGTGATTCCTTGCAATGATGTCCCGAGACCCTTCCCGGGTTTATAACTATGT